TTTTTTATAAAAATATATATGTATATATATATATATATATATATATATATATATATATATATATATATACCAAGTGCATCTGCTTGACCGATCGGAATGACCTTCAAAAACACCAGCCGAAGCCTATAAAAACTATTTTCGAAAGAAAAACGGTAACATAAATTGAACACGCCATTACTCAGTGGTCTCGTGAACATGCGCACATGAATGTATGCATAATCCCGACTTTGAATTCAGCCGAAGCCTATAAAAACTATTTTCTCCCGAAAAACGGTAACATAAATTGAACACGCCATTACTCAGTGGTCTCGTGAACATGCGCACATGAATGTATGCATAATCCCGTCAAACTTTGAATTGTCAGGCTTGCGCCTTTAAACTGAATGACTGCAGGATCTGAGCGAACCATGTTCAACTAATAATGTATCTACCAGCTGCTTCAAAAATAAATGAGACAGAGACGTCTCTCAGAAATAACAGTTTTGGTTGCCAAATGAATCTTCCTTGGAAGGGGCCACTTGTGACTAGCCTCTTCAGATATCGCCTGCGTAGGGTTAGCTAGAAAACCGAGATTACTTGGAACGTAAGTATAACCTAATCTCGCAACCAGTGGCGCTCGTGCATCAAAGCCATTGCTTTCAATACGTAGCAGCCCAGTTTCCCGTCCCCTCGGAGCAATATATAATGCAAACTAAGTGACACTGCCATCCCTCCAATTCTTGGTTGCATCCCTCACGTTCCCGTTTTCCGGTGACCAAAACTGTAGCAGCTGTAACCAACTTACGTTTGTTAAATAGTTTATAGCTGATACGCTGAACTGAATCATGGTGGTCTTGGCTCGCTTTTAGCCTCTGGTCAGCTGTGTGGGATAGACACACGCGTGCCGCCCATCCGAACGACCAAAGATAATCACGGTATTAAACCGTGCTGTCTGCCGCTGGAGTGAGGGTGTGCGCCACAGTTTAAGTAGTGTTGGGATCAGTTCACCGTGGCAACCATGGCAATCAATATGCCGCTCCTCAATCACCGTAACTTTCTCCTTCATAACAGACGTGGCCGTGTAAGTGATTGTCCTGTGTATCCGCCTAGCTAACCTCATGTCTGACGATTAAACTGGTGAACAATGAATAAGTGGGATTTTTCTCAAAGCCTTGGGGAAAACCATCGAGAACAAGAATCGTTAGCTGATTTGTAGAAATCTAGACCGCTTCCCAGTGACCTCCACACTAATATGAATTGTACCGCAATTATGGATATTGCCCCACTAGATGAGTTAAACATTTGAGGACAATTTTCACCTCATTTCACTCGACGAAACTTCCCACCCCCTGCCCATTAATGACCATTCATCACGACCAAGATCCTCCTCCTAGGTCATCCGGAAGTATTCGTAGGACTTTATCGATTTTGTAGATGGTTGTTTAATATGAGTTGTCCTTAAGCAAAACCAGCGTGATGATGCATACTCCGCCAAAGAACCAAAGTTTTGTTGATGTTAAGCGAAACGACTTGGTCGTGATTGGTCAACCTAACCTGAGAGGATCACTATTCAGCAGTTTCCTCCCTACTGAGAATCACCATTTGTATATGGTCAAACAACCGCAAGAGCGATTTGTTACCTGAACTTTTAACAGAGGTGGAGCAATCACACCGCTCTTTAGTGTGCTTTTGTCACTCAGTTTTTCCGATCCGAGAAACCCTCGAATCCCGATTTTTTTTCTCACATGATACCAAAAGTTGTTCACACCATTCATTGGTAACGGATTTACTGTGGATACCATCGTGGGCAGTATGCCCTCATCTGAATTTCCACGGACAGAATTAATTCTATCTATATTTCCGCCACCGTCTCATAGGGTAAGCAAAGGTGTCTGAGGTATATGAATGTGATCCTAGCTATAACATACATTTTCTACCGAAAGCTGTCTCTAGTTTATCAAGTTGGACACGGTGATCACTACAATTTACGCACACCAATGGGGTCTGGCAGAATTCATATGATCTATGGCCTCTCAACAACCAAAGTATATGAACTAACTATTTTAATCCTACTCAAGACTGACTACAGCATGGGCTAAACTGCACCCGTATAAAGTGCTTCCTCGTCCAACGACCCTTCTTGTGTCGAATCTCTGCTTAAGACTGTGGCTGTGCGCATCACTTTTATTCATTATTCCTCCATCCGTTATACGACCACCTCTCCAGCACTACACAGTTGTCTATGCTTTCTGAAGATTTGAACAAAGGGGAAACACTGTATCATCTAAATGCTGAAATACTGTACAGTAGCACTTCCCCTTCATAGTGGAATAAAGGTCACTTTGACCCCACTTCTCCATCTGCGCTGTTATTCCGCTACTGGTCAGTGCGGAAAGTTATGACCCACAATATTCTTAAACTTACCGTATGTTTAACGTGGCTTATCGGATCCACACTTTGTTTGTGGCTGCGTAGGCGGTACTGGCGTCTTATTAATAGTGTACGGAAAGGCCTATCAAGGAATCCATGAACAATGGGCAGCTTGTTAGTGTCGTTTTTCAACCTCGACAGCATTGGGTAGTGAGTAGCTGAGCAACTATTCAGATTAAATAACGAATTCTGTACCATTTTGTACCACCAACAACATACCCATTCACCCATTTGAGGCGATCGAGCTTGACTGAAGTGATCGTGACAGAATCAGTGTGTTCGGTTGACTTTTATGGACTAGCTTGGTGAATTCTAACATCTCCCATCCACATTTTCGCTTATGAAATGAGACGCTTTCCATGCTTATCCTGTTCATTCCAGAAAGAAAAGTTTGTCAAATTACTCGACCAACTCCACAACTCGCTTCGTATCAGCCTGTCAATGTATCGAGTGAGTTCTTTTGTGATAGCATCTCTGATATTCTATCCTGGTGATGTTGTCTTTTGCCTCGGAACCAGTCTTGATATTTGTGTTGGTTGGTGCTCCTGCTGGTAGATTTTTTTCGCTGGAGTCGTAGATTTTGAACAAGTAAATTTAAGTGCAGAGTTATCTGTATCCCGTGGTCCGACTGGCGGGTTCGATATCGAACAATTATTTTCTAGCCAAACATTCCGTATTTACTAAATCGAGTCCTTAAATTGTGGCTTCCACACATGAAAAGTTTTAAAATTTGCGCACCAAAAGTAGGTTATTTAGACTATTGCTTAATCTCCGGGTTGTTCCTCGGGTTCCATTTCAATACTACCTTTTTCGTCGACACGACGGCCAGTGTGGTGACGATCGTGTTACCCACGAAACTTCCTAGTTGTGTGTCTTTATGACCTACTTAGGTGGCTCACATCGTGGATATTCATGCCTCGGTTGAGCTTTTAGTGCCCACATTACATATCCCCACTCACAGGTCACACTAATGGCCGGATACGAAGGGCCTTAAGCTAGCTCCAAGGTATCCCCCGACAATTTCCATAATTCGGTCGCACCGTTTCTCTTGTGAATTTATGAACAATAAATACAGGGGTTTTGTAAGACCATTCCTTGAATATTTTCTTTTTGTTCTACAGAATTCGTTTCCTGCTTCCCAACCGGATAAGTTACAAGATTTGAAGTCTACTGTGGATTTACTAACTAGCATCACGTTCTTCCGCATGAAGGTAAGTCAATCAGCTGCTCGCTTCAAGCAGTTTTCGGCCGCCCTTTTCAGCAACTTCTACACGTACAAAGTTTTGTTCTTTGTAATTTTCTCTGAATTTCCTGTCACACCTGCTGGGTTAGCTGTCTCCTTCCCATCCTCAACTCCCTTCTTACGTGCATCTGTCTAATGTTTTGTGTTATATTCCCCTGATACTTGGGGAGAATAATCATCCAATGATGTACAAACCACCGCAGTGCACATAATTTCCTAACCCATCTTCGATATTTCGGGTAGCACTACGGTTCATTTTGTCACGGCGCAGTCCTATCCATCGAAAAAAAAACTTTCACCGTTCGAATCCTTCTCTTCTGACAATGCTGCTTTCCCTATCTCGTGTGAGGTGAAAGAACAGAATCACACTGTTCGAACACTACTCATAGGTCCGATGAAAACTGTGGACAGCACACTCCCGCTCCCTTTTTCCTAGGGTTTACCAGGTATGCCCACTCCCCAGAATCTTCGCAGACATGTTCTAACTAAGCACAAAATTGCGCATATGTTGCAATGCTTTGATACTGACGGGAGACTCAGCGGAATTTCACTTAAATCATCTCCCGCCTCTAATATTTATTCATGTGAGGAATATTATCAATGATAGATTTAGGTGGGTTTCACATGAGACCCTCGTCAGCACCAAATGAGTGTTTATCGCAAGATTACATTCTTCGCTCCTTTGACCTCCTATGTTGAACTTTCGGACTCATCGGAAGTATTCTATCCAATTTGATCGCTCAATATATATATATATAATAGGTCACGTTATGTTATCCAAAGTTACCCCTTTCGAAGCCATTTCAACATCACCTATTCGTGATCCGATTCGCAGCTGGTAGACTGTGAGAGCGTTAAACTTCAGCTCGATCGTCCACCGTTTATAATACATTTTTGTGCTCCCCATAGTTTCATTGGAACTTCCTCGAGTTCCTGAAAATTTACGCTCAGAGTTCGCAAAGCCTTCCTCTACTTCACCTGAATGGTTGGACGCGATACGGCTGCTCTTGACCCGTAGTAACCCGATGGACGGGAAATGTTTGATGATTTCAAATGTCGCTCAACTATATCTTCCGCCATGGATCTTAGGGAGCCCGAGTCCTCAGCTGAAAGATCTGAGGTTAGATTACACCTCCATCCTTATCGCGGTTTGTGTAAACCGGTACTAACGCAGATTCAACAGCTCCAAATGCGTGTGCTGGCTTACCAATTCGTTATTCTTTGAAGTTGCGAATGATGTTTAGTGGTCAGATCTGATAATCGATCGTTTTTTCGCCGCTGTGGCAACACAGAATTCTCATTTCCTTGGTTACATACCAATGTGGTTCTAGGTGTGATCAGTCCCTCAAAGCCAGCTACTGGCCTGTCTGCTTATCCTTTTCCAGATCTGAGAGTTTCATGCTGATCACACTCGCCATATTTTTGTCATTCTCAAACCACTTATCTTACCATGCTGCTTATATCAACCGCACCGCCTTTTGAACTCGTTGTCCTGCATCTGATTGTGGACCTGTGTCGTCTAGCTGGCAACGCTTCATCCACTAAATGGATGAATTAACCTGAACAGCCGCCAGCACTTGGGGATCTTAAAGTGCATTCACTTGACTGGAATGACCACAGTGTACGAGATAGTCATGTGGATGGAACGACATCCTGGTATGCTCAGCAGAAGTGCACAAACTTTAAACGCGCACCAACTCGACGTCGCATTTAGGTAACGGATGGTTAATATTGCTGTTGAATATCTGTGCTTTTGTAAGTGGTCGGTTTTCAAACATTGTGAAGGGTAAGCACTACGCTGATGCGATTCCTTCGTAAAGCCTGATCGGTTGTGCTTTTTGCAGTTAAACTATGAAACCCGCACATTGAATTGCGTGTCATATGGTCTGTATATGAGATGCCACTGCGCTGATGCTAAAAACCAGTTTCCCTCTTCCCCATTTTCCACTTTATTTCCTCACTCAAGGTTCAAGAGCTGTCCAGTCCACCCAGGGCCAGTCAAGTAGTGCGTGAATGTACACGGGCTTGTATGCAAAGCACTTATCAATTTATCTACGAAAATGTCAATGAGGTCTATGCAAGACAGTTTCAGGTAAGGCTGTCGTATAAACTGATCGCTTGTGATGAAGTGTTGCACAACTAATACACTTTTTTTAATTCTTCAGCACTTTCAAGATATGGATTAATATTTCATCCCGTCCGTTTAAACTGATCAATATTTAGAATCCCGTTGAGTACTTTATGATTGTTTTTTTTTTAAAAAAACGTATTTTTCTGAGCAGCTCTACGGGCTGAATGAGTGCGATACTTCATTTTGCCGGATTTATAATCAAGTATTGACGATTCATTTCACCACTCCACCATTTGGCCTCTGGGAAATCTCAATGAGCCTCTGTGGATGGGCCCACAATCCCTCACTGATGCCTTTTCGGGAGGTCCAAGCTGTCATGAAAACTTTCGGTCATCCAGCAGCTGTTATTCTGTAACTTTGCTCCTCACGTGACTTGAACCATGGCGCGTCCATGTGGTCAAACTTGCCTCTATTACACAATGACTCTAATGAAAACATCTTTTTCTGCTTATTTATGGGCCTAACGTCTGTCTCTCTGACAATGTGTTCGGTTGCAACCCCATGTTATCCGGACGATCCTTGTGCTGCAACACACCCGTCATCTTGAAATACGTATCCTCAATACACTACTGTCCCTCTCATGGGTAGTTCAAAATAACCGCGCCACGCTCATCTCGTCTTTTAACTCTGATGAAATTCGATCGTGATACTGACTCCCCTCCAACTTATGTAATTCTCTACGTGTTCTCTATCCTCAGGAACCCGTGACCGCTGATGAAGGGGCTCCATCTTTGAAATCCTTGGAATTTTGGCATCGCCTGATCACTCTTTTGGTTTCAGTTATCGATGAGGACAAGACAACCTATGCGACAGTTATCAATCAGTAAGTTGTCAGTCCTGACTTGTCCTTCTGTATTTTCACTGCCGCCTGTTTGAACTACAACTAGAACGTAAACATTGCTGCTCTTCACTGCCGTCCGAGTGGTCCTCTGCTGACGACTTCGCGCTTAGCATTAGTAAACATTGCTGCTCTTCACTGCCGTCCGACTGGTCCTCTGCTGACGACTTCGCGCTTAGCATTAACCGTAAAATGTCCTTCTGTTTGCATCCCACAGATTTCCACAAGAAGTCAACATGGGTCATCTGAGCGCCATATGCATGTGGGAGAGGCTATCAGAGGATCTGCGTATCGCGTTGGAAGTTCACGCACGTGCGGAACAACGCTACTGCAAATCTTCTGACTACATGAATCTATGTTTCAAAGTCAAATGGTTCTACAACAAACATGTGGCCATTGCACCAGAAATGAAAGACAAAGTTCCCGAATATCCCCGGTAATTTGAATGCTTACATAGTCCTTTTTGGTTTAATGCCCTCCGTGTTTTCCTCTCAACTAGCACAAATGTGAAATTCTCCCGTCTAACATTTGTTTTTCGAACACTCGAGCATTAGTTCTTTTGCTCCCTAACTACACTTTAGTTGGTTCGAACCATTCGTGATGCAATGGCTGAATGAAAACGATGAGGTCTCAATGGATTTCCTCCGCAATGCGTACGAACGAGACAAGCGTGATGGTTTCCAGCGGTCCAGCGAACACGCCCTCTTCTCCAATTCTGTGGTCGACGTTTTCACGCAGTTGAATCAATGCTTCGATGTTATTAAAAAACTGGAATGTCCAGACACTGACGTTCAGGAGCGGTTTTTGAATAGATTTTCACGGGTAAGCACATTGGCTTTGAGTTTCTACACGTCTTCCCGAATTTTTTTCCGTTAAATATGATTAGATACACCATGTACTTGAATACACACAACTGTGAAGTGCATTGAGCTCATCCTCACTGTCTTCCATCAGAATCAGTTCAACATTATGCTAATAAGCCGAATTTTGTGCAGCTCCTACCAAGGACCACATCGAAGCTCTCTGAGATAAGCAATTCTTCTCAGAAAAGCACCCGGATCGTGCACCACCAGGTCTCCTTTTTGATATGTGCACAAAACCTGTTTTTCTACGAGTTCCCATCAGCACTCACTAGTCCACTTATTCGGCTTGCCAAAATGGGTTTGTGTAGTGTCCGATATCAGTGTATGTATGGAACACGTTGATTATGGTGTTCTTCCTACGCGTGTTTTTTCTACTATTGAGCTGTATTCTGTGCGCTTTTAATATGAAAGGTGCCGGATCTCATCACCTGTTTATTTTTCCTTTCTCAACCAGACTGTGAGCAAAGTTCTTCTCACCTATGCGGAAATTGTTAAAGCTGATTTTAAAAGCTGGGTGGGACAGCAGGAGGTCGCCTGCATAATCATGAACAACATCCAACAGATGCGCGTCCAACTGGAAAAAGTATTCGAGGCCATGGGTGGGAATAATTTGCCAGAAGACACGTTGACCGCCATGAGCGATTTGCAGCAGATGCTTCATCTAGTAATCGATGACTTGGCCGCACAGTATGCCCAACAACTTCAGGGTGAAATCGCCACAAAGATCAAAGAACTGAGCAAATTACTTCATCAGGTCAGTCAGCTAGAGCTCCAAGTTGTTGTGTTCAACTCTTAGCAAGTCATACTATCACGCATCAGCGGCAACCGGCTCATCCACTGTTTTTAGCCGCAGTAGTTGTAACAAGCTAGTTGCTTTTTTGTCTGGAGCGATGCACACGGCAGATCACATGGTATCCGCATGACGCTTCACACAAGTGTCCGTGCTCTCACTAACTTTTCACTCTAGCGAGATAGATTTTACCGACAGGTATTCCGTCAAGCCTTACATCGGTTTTCTGTAATTTGTTTCGTTGATCTCCATTCGGTTATTTTGTTTTAGTTAGTTGTCCTGTGTTGTCTGTCAATAGTTTTATAGTGGTTTATTGATTGGGTCGTTGAACAGGGTTGGTACCGTGACCTCTGACTCTCCTCATGCTGTTTCTTTTTAACAACAATGACTTGACCCTTCGTTATGCCCAGTAATGATATATCATATAGACATCACATGTTGACTTGGTGTCGGTTTAAAGCAAACCCCATTGAGAGACCATTCTCAAAGCACACAGTGATTGACCGGTTTGCCAACCTAGTGTGCCCTCACTCCATTCTATCTTATCCTATGTGCGCACTTGTTTAGTTGTCTATTTGGGAAAAACGGGGTCTCCCCCGCGGACACCTCTTGAAAAATGCACTCCGGAGGTATGTAACCTCTAAAAGAAGTTTACCGCTCCAGATCTTGAAGTGGCTCTTCCAAGTAATGATCTTCGATTGCCCCGCGAGTGCCGACAGACAGGGGAAAAAGCATCAAGATAAGCCAGTAAGACACCCATGTATTGGTTGAATGAGGCTAGTTGCGTAAAGCTTGCTTCAAAAGTTTACTAGCACTTGGTCATTCATGCCAATCTTCATAACTATACTTTTAACGCAGCAATTTGTCTTCTAGCAAAAAAAAGCAGTCTTTGGCTCCTTGTTTCCAATCCGGAGGTTGTACCATGACGTCTTCATTTCATACACGTTTAACTACGACTAATCATGTTAAACGAATAGTTTTCAGTAACCTCAATCCTCTTCCTCTCTTTCGCAGTGTTCACCGAATTCGAAAGCCAGCGTTGAGTCTGAAGCCGATCTGATTCTCCATCCACTCATGGATCATTACGAAGCCACCTTGTCCGCCTTGGCTGATTTGTGCGAGAAAACTGTGTTGAAGCGTCTGCTCAAGGTGTGTCAGTATTCTGTGGATTGAGGGACGCATGTATTTCGTTTCCGTCTTTGTTTCGTTTCTGTCGGGTTTTTTTTTCAAAAATTTCAGTCAGTAGAGCTATTTGATTCGGTGTCTGGCTCATCTATGGTCAGTTATTCCATATGGTTGTATCAACAAGCTGATTAACGTGCTCATAATCAGCTGATGACGCTGTCTTCAGACTGCGTTGTTACGGAGCATGATTGCTTTGAGGGTTATGCGCCTGGTTTTAATATTACGCACTTAGCTGCTGCATAAGAAAATACAGATCGCATTCATTCAAAGCAGTGTCTCTAGCCAATAAAAACCACTTGTGGAAGACAAGGAGTTTCCCTCTGTGCACGCCGATTTTTACGTACTCAGCATAGTAGAGCTATCCCATTTCCTTAGCTTTTCTGTGGTCAGTTGAAGTGCTTTACGGTGTTTTGCACTGCGAATTTTTCAGTTTTATATCGGTTGATATGAATACACCTTGTACTCATGAAATAGAATACAAAAAACAAGGAAGATAGTTGCTATGTTTCCTTTTAATTTAAAAAGAGCACCTAACGGCCTAAAACCCCGTTGGACAACATATTACAGTTCCCCTATAAACTTGCTTAATGTATCAACACGTTCCACATCTTTTTGCTCTGTGTTTCCCTGCTGATACTTTATAAAGGAGCACCAATTCACAAACATTTCTTTTTTCTGCTACCATAGGAGCTCTTTAAAGTCTCAATGCACACTTTAGAGAAGCAGGTCGTCTTGCCTACAGTTTCGGACCCTAGAGCGGTAAGTCGTTGGGGAGCCTCTCTCCTAATTGTCAGCGTGAGGATTCCGTTCACCCTGCTTCACTAACCTCCTCTATTCATCTTCCGTTTATTTCAGCTCTTCCTCAATTTGACTATTCCATCGACGGCTCAAGCAAAAATTTCCAGTGTTTCCCAAAGCCTATTAACGAATGTCAGCAGTCAGTTACCCGCCAGCCGAATCCTTCAGGTAAGTTGCTCGTCAACAACCTCAAGTTTCTACCACTGTGGGAGGATTGCGATAAGTTTGTACAGTACATTCTGGATTGCATCCTTCTGCATCCTTCTGTGAACTACCGTCCATGTTAGTTTTTGACGTGTGTTGTTGTTCAACGCATCGTAAGTATGCACCAGCCCAACTTTGGACAGCTTGCGTATGCTCATTCACTCTAGAGTACGCAATACCTTACGCTGTTCGTCTCAATAGCCGTATAGCCTCGAAGATAAACGAGCAGCTGACTAGCATTGTGATTAGCTCTAAATTGTTAGGTTCAACGATTTCTCCCCTTTCCTACAACCGGAGATACGCTTCTCGTGAGCAAGGTAGGAATTATTTTCTCATACATTCTGACACAATCACGTTGTGCATCTGATTAATCGACCTTTTCCTCTCTTTCACGCCCAGGACATTTCCAAAGACACCGGTGTGACTGAGCGGAACCTCACTCCAAGGCATTGTCAAATACTAGACATCGCTTTGGACGCTATCAAGAGCTACTTCCATGCTGGCGGTAGTGGTCTAAAGAGCACGTATTTGGATAAGTCACCGGAATTGCAGTCTTTGCGATACGCGCTCTCTTTGTACACTCAGACCACGGATGCTTTAATCAAGAATTTTGTGGCAACTCAAACGTCTCAAGGTACTGCATAGTCTTTTTTGTTCATTTGTTGCCGTTTGTGTTCGCCCATCACCAAGCACAAGTCACCGGATGAGTTAACTGGACCAAGATGGGTGTCGTAATGTTTTGGCATACGTTTACCATCTATCGGAGAGATTTTCTCAAGGCACCGCCCACGATGACGTAATCTAATAGGAGTCTGTCCGTTTGTAAGATTTTCAGGTGAACAACCAAATTGACCTCTGTCCAAGAATTGCATCTCCAGAAGGTTACACTCGCATTACTTGGCTGATAGTCTCAGCGTTATGACAGTCGTAGTTCAGATTCCGAAGTCGATCCACTATATAACTGTTTCTGTGGTTACGATCTATCGACTGAACATCCACATCGTCGAGGTTAAGAATCGTCTGTGTTCTACAACTCCCAATGTGTACGACAGATGTCCAATCACAGACAGTCTACGTCGAAAACATCACTTTTAACTGTATTTTAAAAACCCATTGTTCAGTTCCACAGAAGACAATGCTTAGCGTAATCGTTTGATTCAGAACTAACTGTTTGGTCTTCTTGTTTAATCAAAGTTTCAGAATAAGAATCGAATAACACCTAGCTGCTTCACCTACATTATGTGCGACTTGCGCGGGGGCGAAGCATTACTCCGAAACGCAGCTGTGCTCCGTCTCTGTTATTTCTCCGATCACTGTGACCATTCTGTAAACTTAGTTTGCATTCTGCACCTACTTTCTCAGATAAACCAGCCATCGAGGAAACTGTTGGAGAAGTTTCCATCCAAGTTGACCTGTATCGGCATCCTTCACATGGTGAACATAAGGTTATGGTAACAGGTGAGACATTTTCTGTGCTGTTGCAAATCATCAAACATCCAAATTGCGCACGCTTGTTTTCTTTCGTAGCTAACCGCATTAGTAAGCTTTAGACTGGTGTTAAACTCAGTTCTATACTACCTGGATCAGCACACAGATCCACACAAAGCTCAGGGATACACTTTTGCACACCCCCGCTCGACCTATTCTGTGCGGGTGATTGGAGATTCAGCTTCTTCAACAGCGTTTCATTTCCCTTGCATTATATGTAGGTTTGTCATCCAGTGAAATGCCTTCGAATTTTCTGTACCGTTTTCATCTTCTTGACCCAGTTCTCCATATGGTTTTGATGGTTATCTTGATGTGAGAGAGCGGGTACTTGTGGAGTTTGATTCTACTGTGAGTGTCGAATTTTCTAAAGTTTGTGATTGGAGCCCTGTCAACTCTGTGCTTGTCTATCATGGTTGTCCGTAGACCACAGCTTATGCCCTGGTTCTTCAAATCCGCTATTGTTAGTTACACCATTCCCCATGGCATCCCGTTAGCTGACCATCCACAACGCTCCAAGTAACCTTCAACTCATTGTACTTTACATTACATTACCCTATTCAGTCATCGCAGCCAACAACCTGAAATGGTCCGGAACCGGCGGATTTCGACCGTTTGTCGAAGTTGTCCTCGTTGGTCCACTGCTTGCAGAGAAGAAGCACCGATTTGCCACCAAGTCAAAGCCAAACACTTGGTCTCCCAAGTTCAATGAGACATTTACCTTGTAAGTCTCTGATTTTATGCAGCGTTCGTGTTTACCACCGTTCGGTCTAACATGCCTGCATGAATCGCGGTTGTCGGTTTGCTCGCAGACCTTGACAGTGGTTTCATCGCCACCGTTAATTAGGACTATTGCCGTTTATGAGTTAGCTATGAACATCGTGGTTTGTCAGAGGTATATTCCCCATATAATGCCTAGCTGGTCACTTCGAGTTGTGAATAGCGGTAGGCAACCTGTTACTTGATTGTTTGAATGCGCTCATTTGTTCGGTTCTCCCTTTTCTTATGTTATCAATGTCTGTCTCAAAAGTAGCCCATGACAGATGATCGCGTGGTTCACACTTTCACGATCAGAACATCAGAGAAGCCCGAGGACGAAACGCTTCTCTGATAACTACTCAAGTGAGATTGGATTTATGGAATTGTATTACATAAAATGCATTTTGACAAACGTCTTGCAACCCTGAAGGGAAGGCAAACGAGTCTCAACAAAGCTTTTTAGTCGTGCCGGTTCATACCCTTTATGAGATACTGGTAACTAACGTACATCCGATTACGAGTTTGCCACTGGCTGACGTTGCGATGTGATTCACCCACTCACTTTTTCTTGAACCTGAACCTTATTCCTTCATCTTACACTTTCAGTAGCTAAACGTCGAGGCTACCCTAACTCGCCCTATTTGCTTGACTAAGAATTCTTATGCTTCAACCGATGCCCATCGTTGTCGGAATTATAGGGATTTCATTAAAATTAAACCGCCTACCACTTTAAATCGGATTAAAGTCCGTTTGAATGGATTTCCCAGCTAAGTCGTGCCACGCTGGTACTCCTCCCCTCTGTCATTTTTTAAGCACGTCCCCTTCGACTAACAGAGCTTCGCTTATCAACTGCGGATAAGGCGAAAATCCTGAATTGAAGGTGATGGTAACTTTTTATAAAACTGCTCGTTCTGTCATAAAAAAAGCACAACAACTACATTTGTCTCCTTTGGGGGTTGTTTACTTTTGTTTGATTGAACACGAGTAGCAGTTATCCCGAAGGTTCAGCGGGTCGAAAATACAAATCCTGGTAAATGAAAGCGATGATATTGCTGTTGATTCTTCTACTGTTATTGTATTCAGTGGGATACCTCGTTTTTTGCCTTCGTTTTGCGTCCATACCCCACTTTCTGGTTTCGACCTGGACCCAAACCGTTGTCGTCGCGCACCTAGTTTAATGCAACGACGTGAGTGTGTCATCTTGTGACACTTTGTTTTTAGTCAGTGTAAGCTTTGGATAGGAGTACTGTTTCCTAACGATTTACTCGTGCATGATTCCATTTGGAATTAGCAGTACCTAACCCGGTATACAGAAGTCGGCTTATTCCCACGATTTGAGGTTTGTGCAATTCTATTGTCTTATTATGGTGTTCGTGGTAGTGCATTTGTTAGTAAACCTCCATTTGGCCTTTGGGATTTCGGCACATTACTTAACATGACCCACCTGATTGCTTGAATCAGTCAGTAACTGCAATGTGCTAGCTAACAGTGTATCCGTATGCTACATTCTTTGGCGCACAAATTCACCGATGAAACTGTGATCAAATCCAATCTCAACTGGCTGCAGCAATGCTTTTTTCGCAAGCAACTGTCAAGGTTCTATTCCCGCAGT